AATTCCTGGTTGTGTGACCTTGGGCAAGTTGTTTAACAGCTCTGTGCCTCAGTTTCCTTATCTGTACAATGTTAGTAGCATCCTGCTCATAGGTTTGTTGAAAGGATTAAGTGAATTACTATGCATAAAGTGCTTAGCAAAGTGGCTGGCACATTTGTGTTCCATAATGTTTGTTGTTATTATCTTTGTAGTCAGGGTTCTGCAGAGAAGCAGAATCAATAAGATATACAGGCATGCCTCAGAGATATTGTGGGTTCAGTTCCAGACCATCACAATAAAACGAAATATCACAATAAAGCGAGTCACACACCTTTTTTGGCTTCTCAGTGCATATAAAAGTTATGTTTATGTTCTGCTGCAGTCTATTAAGTGTGCAATGTTGGTGTTGTTAAGTGCTGTTGCGTCAGTTCCAACTCATAGCGACTCAGTACAGGGTTTCCGATGAGCGCGTGCTGAGTTTGAACCTTGTGGTTCAAACCAACCTTGCGGTTCTGCACTTTTCCTGCAGCACCACATCAGGACTCTAAGTGTACAATAGCATTGTGGAAAAGTTTGAAGTATGGTGAGAAGTTTTCAAAATGTGGCACAGAGACTCAAAGCAAGTACATGCTGTTGGGAAAAATCACACAGATAGACTTGTTCAATGCAGGATAACCACAGATCTTCAATTTGGAAATAAACTCAGTATCTGAGAAGTGCCGTAAAATGAAATGAAATAAAATGAAGTATTGAAGTATGCCTGTGTGTGTGTGTATGCATGAGTAGATACTGACTCGATGGCACTTAACAACAACAAATATGTATATACACACACACACACACATATTATGGCATATATATATACATATTATGGCTAATGCACTGGACTGCAAGGTCAGTTTGAACCACAAGGTCAGAGGTTCAAGCTTACCAGCCGCTCCTCAGAAACCCTATACAGGGTCGCTATCGGTCGGAATTGACTTGACTGCACTTAAAACAACATACCCATAGTGAGTTTTGAACCACTGACCTTGCAGTTCAAACCAACCTTGTGGTCCAATGCTTATCCTAGAGCCCTAGAGCGCCACACCAGGTATGTATATAAATATATATATTTGTTGTTGTTAAGTGCCGCCGAGTCAGTTACGACACATAGCGACCCTATGTACGGTTTCCAAGGAGTGGCTGGTGAACTTGAACTACTGACCTTGCAATCCAGCACATTAACCCACAGCGCCACACCAGGATTCCATATATATAGAGAGGGAGATTTTAGGGAATTGGCTCACATAATTGTGGAGGACTGACAAGTCCAAAATTCCTTGGTCAGGCAACCAGCTAGAAAACTCTGGCACCTTTGTGCCTGAAATTGGCAGGACAGTCTGGAAACTCAGGTGAAATTTCTATGTTGCAGTTTGAGGCAGAATCCTTCTCCCTAGGGAAACTTTAGTGCTTGCTCTTAGGCCTTCAGCTGATTGGATTAGGCCTTCCCACATTACAGAGGGTAGGCTGTTTTGCTTAAGGTCAATTTATGTAAATGCTAACCACATGTAAATACTTTCATAGCAACATCTAGATTGATATTTAACCAAATAATTAGGCACTAAGGAGCTCTGGTAGCGTAGTGGTTACGAATCGGGCTGCGAACCTTAAGGTCAGCGGTTCGAAACTACCAGCCGCTCCGCGGGAGAAAGATGAGGCTTTCTACTCCCGTAAAGATTTACACCCTCGGAAACCCTGTACAGGGTCGCTATGGGTCGGACCCGACTCGATGGCACTTAACAACAACAACAACAAGTTAATAACTAAAGTTAACCATCACAGTCATTATCACAATTAGTCACTTGTTAATCCTTTAAAATGGGCCCTTCATGTATTGAACCCTCATAAGCAAGTACAGTTACAGGAAATAGGTGCCGGTCCTTTCCTTGTTCCCCCAGAGAGGAGGATCATTTCCTTTGGGTATCCTGAAACTTCCAGGAAAGCTGGCTAGTTGTAAGTTTTTACAGTATTTCATTTTTAAAAGTTTATTTATGGCAATGTTCTTTATGCCAACTTCCATTGCAATTTGAATTTACAGCATTGCAGAAGTTGCTATAGACAGACTGCTGTCATCATTTCCTCGGGTCTCCATAACAAAACTACCATAAATGGGTGACTTTAAAGAACAGACATTTATTATTGTCTCACAGTTTGAGAAGTTAGAAGCCTAGGGGAGGATCCTTCAATGGTGATAGCCCCATTCCTTGGACTGTAGAGGGAACCTCATATGATGTCTTTGCCCATGTGTGTGTGTGTGTGTGTGTGTTCTTTCTTTTTATAAGGTGCAACTCAGAAAAGATTGGGTTTAAGACTCACCCTACTCAAGTATGGCCTCATTGTCATAACAAAGAAAAACCATATACCAAAACGAGGTGGCATTCACAGGTACAGGGGTTAGAACTCAACATATATTTTGGGAAGACAATACAATCCATAATAGTCACCATCCAAAATGCAAGGGTCCCTGAAGTACTAGTAGATTCCTCAGGGATTCAGAAGCCTGGGTTCTCTTCCTAGGTTCTCAAGCTCCCTGGATAAGTCTCTTGATCTCTTTGCCCTTCTAAGTTTTTGGCAGCTTTCTTTGTCATCAAAACATAGGAAAATCTTTTGGTCTCCTAGGGGAAAGCTGTATCATGTAAGTTAGAAAACAAAGCAATCTAGGGTGTTTACCTAATCAAAATGCTAATTATTCCAAAACTTATCTAAAGAGCTCTCTAGCATGAGGTTGCTCAACAATAAGAATTTAAAGATTCACATTTAAATTAAATAAGTGTCTTATAAAGGCCAATTTTCATTTGTAGTATGATCCTCCATTATTAAGGATAATGAGGGTAAACTTTCCCTTTCATACATAAATCAAAAGAAGATTCAACATGCTTCCCTAGTTAAAATGTTGGTGCACAGTTGGAGAAATGACTAAGGTGTCAGTGTTATTGCTGTTCTTATTATAAGCTATCTTATCCCACAGCACCAGTTATAGTGCAGTGTATCTTGGTGTAGGACAAGTACTGGACTGCAAGGTCAGTTTGAACTACAAGATAGGTGGTTCAAACCCACCAGACACACCTCAAAAACCCTATACAGGTTCACCATGAGTCAGAACTGACTCAACAGCACTTAATAAGTTCTGATGAGGCCATTTGGTGGAATTACATTCCTCTTGAATCCCCAGATAGCTTTGAGTTAGGTGACCATTCTTTTCTAAGATGTGGTTGTTACTAATGATTTACATATTTGGACAGAAAGCAGATTTGATGGAGCTCCTTAGGGTTGGATGTTGTTGTTGTTGCTAAGTGCCATCGAGTTGATTCCAACCCATAGCGAGCCTGCACAGGGTTTCCAAGGAGCAGCTGGTGAGTTTGAACCACCAACCTTGCAGTTCAAACGACTTTGCAGTCTGACGCATTATCCCACAGCACCACACCAGGACTCAACTAGGGTTGGATAGGGAGGGGCAAAGGTCTCCCCAGTAATGGCCCAGAAGACTGAGAGAATTACATTTCCAAGGCTCAGCAATAGGTCAGAGAATAAATAGTTGTGTAAACCAGGGTAGCAAAGGGAAAGATGATGGGTTTTATTAACAGACTGCCTTAGCTTTGTGCTCCTGCTTGACATATTTGTCAGTTTCCACACTTGTAAGGCATTCTGGTAGTGTAGTGGTTATGAATCAGGCTGCTAATCTCAGGTCAGCAGTTCTAAACTACCAGCTGTTCTGTGGAAGAAAGATGAGGCTTTCTGCTCCCATAAAGATTTACAGCCTCGGAAACCCTATGCAGGGTCGCTATGAGTCGGAACTGACTCCACAGCACATAACAACAACAACAACAATGTGATGATGGGGTATTAGGAAAGTTGAAATCGACAATATGTGTACAGTTTCTCCCATTACATGGAGTAGGAATTCAATAGCAGTCTGATTCTACAAATACTTGCAGTCTTGGAAACTTTGAGAGGGCAGTTCCACTCTGTCCTATGATGGTGGTGGTTATGTGCCGCGGAGTCGGTTCCGACTCATAGCGACCCTGTACAGGGGTTCTGAGGCTGTAAACCTTTACGGGAGCAGAAAGCCTCCTCTTTCTCGCGTGGAACAGCTAGTAGTTTCGAACTGCTGACCTTGCGGTTCGCAGCCTGATTCGTAACCACTACGCTACCAGAGCTCCTTACTCTGTCCTATAGGGTTGTTTTTAGTCAGGATCTACACAACATCAACCAGTTTGGGGGTTTTTTTTTTGGTTTTGTTGTTGCTGTTGTTGCTCCTTCTGGGAATCCCTGGATGATGCAAATGGTTAACATACTCAGCTGCCAATTGAAAGGTTGGTAGTTTGGGCCCACCAGAGGAAACTTGGAAGAAAGACCCGGCAATCTGCTTCCTAAAAACTCAGCCATTGGAAACCTATGGAGCACAGTTCTACTCTGAAGCACATCAGGTCACCATGAGTGGGGACGGACTTGATGAAACTCATGTTGGTTTTGGCTCCTTCTGCACCACTTGAATGCAGAGAATCAGGTTGGTGTCTGCATACGTTGCCAACACTTTTTCTAAAATCACATATATGCTTCCCTGAGTTTGAGAAAGAATCCCTGGGTTATGCAATGTAGTCAATGTACTTGGCTGCTAACCAAAAAGTTGCTGATTCGAGTCTACCCAGAGATGTCTCAGAAGAAAGGTCTGGTGATGTAATTTAAAACAAAACAAACAAAAACCCAGCCATTGAAAACCATATGGAGCACAGTTCTACAGACATGGGGTCATCAGGAGGCAGAGCCAAGTCAGTGGCAACTGTTTTGTTTTGCTTTTTCTTTAAATTTGAGGCAACAAAAATTATTTTCTCACCAAAATAGTTTGGAGCTTCCCAGACTAAGGAAGAGAAGTAGATGAGATTAGGCTTTGCTGGTCATCACCTGTGGCAGTGCCTCTAGGGCCTGCTTCCCCTCTTCACCTCATAGGCCAATCCTAAAAAAGACTATTCTTCCAACAGATTTGGCAACTGGCTGGCTTCCCCATTCCAACTTCCTCCTGACTACTTGCCTTCTTACCCTGCCAATTACTCAGATGATTCCAAAATCTGGCGCCCTGTGGAGATATCGAGGTTGGTCAGCAAATACCAAAATGAGGTCTCTGACCGGAGAATCTGTGCCTCTGCATCAGCCCCAAAGACCTGCAGCATCGAGCGTGTGCTTCGGAAAACTGAGAGATTCCAGAAATGGCTGCAAGCCAAGCGCCTTACTCCAGACCTTGTGCAGGTGAGTGTGCCGGCCATGGGGCGAAGGAGTTGTGTATAATAGCAAAATGGAGTTTGTCCAGGATTCATAACATGGCTGCTGGTTTCTTTCTTTCTCTCTTTCTTCCCTTCTCTCTTCCTTTTTTTGTAAGGAAGGGGAAAATCTTTGGTAGAGATGCAAACATGGGTGTTAGGGGAGGGCCAAAATACAGTGCAAATCATTATGACTCTGGCTGTATCTTCACAGGGTGTTGTAAATGGATGATTCTTTAACAGAAAGAAGACAAATTTCTTTAGCAGCATCCAGTGTAAGATAACAAAATCGGTAGAGGATACTTTAGCACTCTAAACTGAAGAAAGGGGCCCACTTATTACAAAGACACAGTCATGCATTTCTACAGAAGTGGGCTTTTTTCTAAAGCAACCTCACTTCTTATTAGGATAGATAGACCAGTAGAACAGGTACCCTTTTCTGCCATTTGAGAAACAAGGAAATCAAGGCACCAGTGCCTGGGGACAGTAGGCATTCAGTAAGGATTTGAGAAATAAATGAACCAGAGTTATGTCAAGTCAAAGAATGACAGATTTGGAAGAACCACTGTGATCCTCTAGAAGCACTTCTCCGCATTTATGGAGGAGAAATGTCAGAGCAAGAATGGGATGCCCTAGGTTTAAATGCAAAATCAACTGGGTAGCGAATGAAGGACTTGAGTCAATAGTCTATCGTATGTCTCTGTGCTAAGCGTCATAACATCGCCTACATTGCTTTGTGAAGATCTGTGTACTTGTGCCTCATTCAATTCTGTACCCCCAGGATGTAACACAGTTGTTGAAAACTATTGAATGGGACAACAGGAATTGGACGCTCTCTACTATTCCTGAGTAGCTACTTCTTCTCTATGCCTCACCCTTTAGTGGCAGAACCATGACTCAACCATGGTTTCAGGCCCTAAGGATCTTTTCCCTACACCACAATGTCTACATCTATCAAGACAGATGACATTAGCTGTACCTGGCAGGTTACTTTGAACTTGCCCCTGTTGTGGAAGTATCTAGAAGGTCAGGGAGAGTTGAAGCTTTCCTTAGTTCAAAGCCTAAGGCCAATCTAATTTTGCTGAAGATAAATCAAAAATGGTTGCAGCAGTAGATTGACAGGGAACTACCAGAAATTCAAACTGAATTCAGCAAAGGATATGACATTGCTAATGTCAGATGGAACTTGACTGAAAGCAGAGAATACCAGAATGATATTTACTTGTGTTTTACTGACTATGCAAAGGCCTTCAACTGTATGGATCATAAAAAATTATGGATGACATTGGGAAGAATGGGAATTCTAGAACACTTAATTGTGCTCTTGTGGAACTTGTACATAGACCAAGAGGCAGTCATTGGAATAGAACAAGGGGATACTGCATGGTTTAAAATCAGGAAAGGTATGTACCAGAGTTATATCTTTTAACCACTTATTCAATCTGTGTGCTTATCAAATGATCTGAGAAGCTGGACTATATGAAGAAGAACATGGCATCAGGATTAGAGGAAGATTCATTAGCAACTGACAAGATGCAGATGACACAACCTTGCTTGCTGAAAGCTAAGAGGACTTGAGCCACTTGTTGATAAAAGTGAAAGACCTCAACATAAAGAAAAAAAAAAAATCCCCACAACTGGACCAATAAATTAAAAACATCATGATAAATGAAGAAAATATTGAAGTTGCCAAGGATTTCATTTTAGTTGAATCCAAAATCAATGCTTATGGAAGAAGCAATCATGAAATCAAATGACAGATTGTGTTCAGCAAATCTGCTGCAAAAGACCACTTTAAAGTGCTAAAAAGCAAAGATGTCACTTTGAGGACTAAGGTGTGCCTGGCCCAAGCAACAGTATGTTTACTCTTCTCATATACTTGTGAAAGTTGAATGATGACTGCAGAAGACTGAAGAAGAATTAATGTATTTGGATGCAATCAATATGACTGCATCAATATTGGTGCAGAATATTGAAAGCACCGTGGACTGCCAGAAGAGCAAACAAATCTGGCTTAGAAGTCAAGTCAAGATGTTCCTTAGAAGTGAGGATGGTAAGACTCCGCCTCTCATATTTTGGACATGTTATCAGTAGGAACAACAGCTCCTGGAGAAGGACACAATGCTTGGTAAAGTAGAGGGTCAGTGAAAAACAGGAAGGTCCTCAACAAGACAACAGCCTCACAGCTTGGGATACTCAAATGGGGAGGGGGGGACTACAAAGGCAAGAAGTGACTGGCTTACAAGCTTTCAAGAGGGAACCTGGTGCTAGGGAGCATGGCAGAAGGCAGAATCTCCAGAAGGTACTATTCAATCTGTCTGGGCGGAGCTGATGAAAGGAGATACAGATGGGTAACTCGTGATACTGTAGTGAATCATGCTTATCAAGACGGATTATGAGGGTTGGAAATGCAAAGGCAGAAGTTTTGTAACAAGGAAGGGAGTGATTGATTCTCCAGGATAGGAGTGGAGGCCTCTGGGACCATCAACGGAGAAGAGCCGAGAGCGGGACCCTACCCAGAGAAACAGAGATGCCTGAGATGGCGACAGAAATGATGACATGGAGTGATGAAGTGACTGGGGAGTTTGGACCCAGAGAGGGAAAGGGACTGTGGGCTGAAAACTGGGGGGAGGAGGGGGAAGTGTAGGGAGCAGGTTTCTGGGATATACCCTTTGGGTGATTGAGGATGCATGGAGGGGAGTGGAACCATGGCAGTGAGATGATATATGATGGAATGAATGTAAAACTAAAGTTCTCCCATGTAAACTATCATATAATTCACAATAAAACATTAAAAAAAAAAAACAAAAAAAAAGACAACAGCCTCAACAGTGGCTGCAACAATGGGCTCAAACACGGCAGCGATTTTGAGGATGGCACAGGACCGGGCAGTGTTTTGTTCTGTTGTACATAGGGTTGCTATGAGTCAGAACTGACTTGATGGCACTTAACAACAACCAGGTGAAGTCCTGGCGTGGCGCTGTGGGCTAATGCATCAGACTGCAAAGTCAGTGGTTCAAGTTCACCAGCTGCTCCTCGGAAACCCTATACAGGGTCGCTGTGGGTTGGAATCGACTCGATGGCATTTAACAACAACAATAACAACCAGAAGATCAGTCTTGCCACCTTCCTTGGGTTCTCAAGTGGATTTGGGAATAAAAATGTTTTACTCTTTGGTTTGATGTCCAATGTCCCAGGTGATGTTAATCCCAGGTGAAGTCAGGTCCTTAAAAGAACTGTAACCTTCAGCGTGGGAATTGATAACGCGCATATTTGATCATTTTGATGCTATTATAAGTAGTGTTTTTTTAAATTTCACTCTTGTATTGTTTGTTACTAGAATATAGAAATATAATTGATTTTTGTATCTCATCCCTGCATTCTTCCCCCACTAAATCCAGATGTGGCTCCATAATCCTTCCGGATTGTCTTCCAAACAGGTGGCCTCTGTCTTTGATCTCAGTTGGAGTAAGAGAGGAAATCTCTTCCTGAATGACCGTTCATCTCAGATTTGGCAGAACACCTTTGCCCTATTTTTCTGATAACCTGTAAGACGTAAATCCTAATTTCTAGTGTGGAAATCATGAGCTTTCTAAGCATATCTAAGAGTTGCAGAGTCAATTGGAGAAATAATATAGGATGTTCAGTAGGGAGACTTGCTTCTTCCTTTGTTGTTGTTGCTAGGTGTTGTTGAGTCAGTTCCCACTCATAGTAACCCTATGCACAACAGAACAAAAACCTATCCAGTCCTGGGCCATCCTCATAATTGCTGTTACGCTTGAGTCCATTGTTGCTGCTACTGTGTCAATCCACCTCATTGAGAGTCATCCTTTTTCTTGCTGATCCTTTAACTCATCCTCCTTTTCAACTCATCTCAAATGGCTCGGTGCCAACTCAGCTCATCCAAAGGCCTAGCCCTGGGATTCCCTCAGTGCATAAGGAGGTGGATTTTCACTGATTTCTTCAAGAGATATTTTCCAATGGGAATCTGGGTCAACACTCTACAGTGTGTGCGTATGTGTGTGTGCTGGTGTGTGGTTTTAGGAGGGGAAAGAGACCACAAAGAACTCACAGGCTTTCTTCAGAGAACTGGCAAGGGTCCAGGAGCAGAGAAGAGAGGAGAAAAATAGAAGAAATGAAAGAAGGAGGAACTTGACTGGAGCAAGGGCCTCCGAACCTTGATTGGCAGTCGTGTTCATGAATAAATAAATCAGCTTGGATGAAAAGCTCCAGTAGTCATCCTCAGAGACTGAGCAAGGAGGAGGCTTGGCTCCCCTCCTCCAGAGCCAAATGCAGCTGTGTATTAAAGACACTGGCTCTTGAGCCACAGGCTGTATACTATATCTGGGGCTGCCAAGGAGGTATGGAGACAGGGCCTTAAAATCAGGAGGAGGATGAAACTATGCACTGTGTGTGTGTGTGCGCACACCCACATGCAGTATTTATGCTAATTAACTATGACTTTTCTCCTGTACAGCCGCATTGTTGTGATGGGACTATCTAAGAGCTGCAATTACTAACCCTGAAATAGAAGCTCAGCCAAGAACACTACCCAGAGTTTATCATGATATGCCTGTTGCAAAACCACAAAAGCTTCCTCTGATAGTATTCCAAACACAAAGAGGCAACCAGCCTAAAGCAGGACCTGATTAATCAAAGGAAAAAACATCCTCCATTGTTTTCCCCTTACATCCCCTCAAAGACGTTCTGTTTTTGACATTGTTCTAAACACAGACCTTGTTACTTCCTCAGTGGGGAATGAACTGGATGGTAATAGAGCCATTTCTCCCACTAGATGGCAGTAAAGAATGTTCAGCCAGGTTTATTGAAACAAGGACTTCTGATCATTTTACTTCCAAAGCCTCAATTATTTTTTAAATAAGTCAAATAAGGGGAAAAACATATCAACCAAAATGCACATGAATCGTTTAACCTAAATATGGGTCTAAATGTCTGAATTGTGACATTTAAAAGTAAATGTAAAATTAA